CTTAAGCCACAAACAAAGATTTTTGCTATAAAAGCTACTTTTATTATTTGCCAACATTTTACCTTGACTTCTTCCAGTCACGCGAAAGCAGACTAAAGAAAACGGGGGTGTTTTGATGGCACTCATTTAACAGTCTAGCAAGGGAAAAGTTTAATACGAAATTTAATATTAAAAGGATATATTTTATAGGAATGACTCATTGCAATAGGGGAATCATGAATGGCGATGAGAATGACGTCAGCCGCGGTCACTGGGGCACGGACTGCAAACTCTTTTGGGAACATAACAATATTATTATTATTTTTGTGTGCCATGTAATTTCATACTAATATTATGTTAGAATATTATTATACAATATTAGCATGAAGAAAATTCCCGCATACTATTAATAGAATGTTATTCTGTAATTGTAATAACATTACATTTAAAATTTGTGCGACCCGGGCCAAGAAAAATGGCCATTACGTAAATTGCTAAAAAATAATTAAATTTCATATTGAGTTTTTAGTAATGAGAACGTTTAACTAAGAATATACATCATTTTTTTAGAAATTAATAAGAAATAGGTACATTATGTAATGTATAAGTACATATGACAAACATTTTTTTTACAATAATAGTGAGCTTTAGAGTACTGTGTGACATGCGTTAAGCAGTTTTTCGACTTTCTATAGAAAAGTTAAATCGAAAATTAGTTTATGAGTATATTATTATAATTGGCCAGTAATGATTAGAAAAGCACCAGAATGCCGTTCCTAGCGAACTAGCTGCTCCGAGGAGGTGCCTCCTTGGCCTGATGCATACTTCATTGCTTGTAACTTAATCGATGTTGCTTTAGGGTGGATTTTTTTCATGCCTTTCTCATGCAAGACTAGTAAATTAATGTTATCGAAACCATAAGAGTTAAGATATTAGAAAAGATCATTGTGGTGACGAATTAAGCTGTATTCCAAACATAATCTTTATTTTGTTTCTTTCATATTATTCCTTAGTTGCCAAATGTAGTTTGATAAGATTAGATAGGAGCAACGTTTATTGTTTTTAATCATATGATATCACGGTGACGGTTTTGATAAGTGTCCCTGGATAATTTACGTGCAGATGCATTTTCAAAAAGGAATGTGATGTTACGTGGGCTTTAAAAATTGTGACCTACACTGTAATGAGACTGCACAAACAAGCCACAACTAGGGACGGAATTGTATAAATATGGGTTAAAGCGAAAAGTAGGTCGGAAAGTGCCTTTATGACGACGCCCTCATCAAATGATGCCATCTACGTTATATATTAACCTATGTGTAGTTACTTGTGCTTGTTTATTTAACGATATAAAAATGAATATAATAAATGCAAATATAAATTCTCATCTATATTTTTTAAAGTATATACTTTTTCATTTTTTACCAACCATTCTACCAAAACTATTTTATTAAATTAATAATCTTAAGTTTATATATCTCTTTCACTGTCTCTATTAAGGGTAGGGGATTCGTTCTGGTCTAATACCACTCGCTGAAACCAAGCTTTTTCTTTTGATCGCTTTTGCACTCTTATAAATGGGCTGAGTTAAAAGGAGTAGGTGTGAACCTCAGATCAAATAAAGTGTAAACCTTTAATTTTGACTTGAAACTAATGAAAAGATTAATTAGATTATTTAAGAGCACGAGGCTATCTTTCATAAAAATGTATTAAAATAGTCAAGATTTAGTGTTCGTTATGTATACCTAAGAGTCCAGACGAAATATTCTTTGGAAAGAAGAGTTGTGACATTAATAATCTCTCCTATTCTGTTCATAAATTTCATCCCACAAATACAACTTATTGTCTCTATCAACCAACCTTTTTACACATAGGATGTATAAACTTTTTACACCATGAAAATTTATATACAGCCCTTGGTGTTTTCAAATATCTACGCATTGCGACATTTTTTCATTTTCAAAGTGGAGAAATATATACGAAGGACATTCCTTTATGTCAAATAGCGAAAACGCAACTAATGTTTACTTGTTAACAGCAAAGGTATTAAATATTGAAGGTCTAATGAACGACTACGCCAAAAAATGCTCAAGGTATTCTGTTTTGATAAGTTTTACTTTCCGAGTTATCATATAAGATTTTCCTGCTGCTTAATGTTTTTGTGTAATGTTTTTAATCGTCAGTAAAACCGGTTTTTTTAGGAGTTCTTAAAACGACGTACGATGAAAGTAGGACTGGCTACATGGATGGCAACAACTATATCAACAGCCTATAACAGCCCGCTGCTGGACATGGGCCTCTCCTTGGAAAACAGGTTTTGGCCTTACTATACCACGCTGGCCAGACAGAATGATATAGGGTTAGTTTCAAGTTTTCCTTCCCTTTGCAGTGCTGTTGTCCTGCATAGTTTGCTCCCTTAGTCGGCTCTTACGACACCCAAGCGATGAATAAGCGTATCACTCCGTATTCTTAATCTAGCACCACACTATGCACACCTTGAAAATGTCTGTCTTCTTGTTTCAACATAAGTTAATAGTAACATAAAAAGAAAAACAAACCTATGAGTGATATATGCAAATTTTTGCAAATTGGTTTTAAGTCTCCACCGGATGGTTAGCATTAAGATACGTCTGACAGTTATTAATATACCTTATAGCTTTTTGAAAACAACATAATTACTGAATAATGACTACGGTGATTTGAAAAACAGTACTGCGCCATTTATTACATGAGCTGGTGTCTCTCGAATATTTCGATAAGGAATATTAATTTGTAGATAAGATCATAAGAACAATTAGATAGCTCAAAAAGAAAACCGTTAATGTTTAATGCATACGCAACAATATTTCCGGACGTGGTATTGATTTATCATAAAAGACAAAAGCTTTTTTTAAGAAAATATATTTTTAAAGACTATAAACACTATGTACATTTATTTGTAATTGTAACGTTTATACCGTATTATTACCATTTAATAGCGTTTTTTTTATTAACTTTTAGTGACTCCTAAACATTATTTCTGAAACAAAAACTTAAAAGTTATAAAGGTTGCAAACTTATTTACAACTGATAGGACCGCCTATTGTTATACCGAAATGCATTTAATATCTGTATAAATAATACTTCAATGGTGTATTCGTACAATAAAGAGATAAATAAATAAATTTTTGTTGTAATGGTTTTAAAATAAGATGATAGGCCTAGTATCAGTAATCTACTATTTCTTCGATTAAAATATAATCAAAATCGTACAGTACTCGTTCCATTGACTTAAATTAGTATGATGCGACGTTACATTTGTCCATACACATGTTTGTACTCTACGTTTCTGAATCCTTTCATATCACAAGCATAATCGCTTAGGGAAGGATAGATTTTTCAATAATAGTAACGTAGTAGTTGAGTTATGTCTATATAGATATGTTTAACCAACTTTAAAAGAGAATGGGGGCACACTTTTGATTATCAATAAATTGAACTGTAAGTAACAATTTATCTAAACGTATAGAATACTTATTCGTTTCATACACTTCGTATATTCATTTCAAATTATTGATCAAGTCCGAGAACAAATCAGAATTTAGGTTTAACCTTGATCTGTGGGTCAGATTGTTTAGTACAGATCTAACATGTCCGAGCACCCACGGCCACAAATCAACAGAGGTGTAATAGCTCATTGTTATTGCTGTGCCCCCACATAATATGTCAAGAAACTTGATAAATAAATTTGATTCCATTTCCAAATTGACTCTAGGATTAAACCGACCGCCAAGACCAAGAGCATAAGTCTGCCAAATCGGGATGGGTCATATCCTTATTGGACTTGTACAGCTAGGTAATATATTTTAAATTTGTTGCCTACACACTTTGATCGTGGGAGGTATGTACATTAAATGTATAAGCCGATTTCTCTGTTGCTATAAATTGCGAGTTTAGAATCTCAGTTGATGTTTACAGCAAGTTGCGTACATATCTTTTAGTGGCCAAGGTCAGTGATGTAATTGCCGCTTTGAGCGCTCGAACGTGAACCACTACGATTCACGTTATCCTAACTATACTCGTATGATACGTATGCCTAAGCATATGTAACACAGTTTTGTATGTATACGTAATTAGTGTTTGTCTAGTTTTGCATGACATCATCCTTGTCCTCTGAGGTCAAATTACCTACTTTGTATTGCCAAATTGAAATTCATAAATACTGAAATAGTTGATAAACATTGAAACAATACGTACCTAGCGTGTACACATTAAATATTTTAACACACATGAATACTCTTACAATTAAAAATTATAGATACTACTCATGCATTTTGTGTTTACACTCCATGAACTATTCGATTGACTTGAAGATTTCTATAGGTACTAGTTAGTAAGTCAATTGAAAATTAATCATCATCCAATTATGCTTTTAAATTGTGAAGATGATAGGTACTGCAGTGATATACAAATAACTTAATTGATAATAAACAACATTTGTTGTGTTGGTGAATTGCTTTGCGAATAAATCATCATGGTTGGTCACGGGGCGCGCTCTGCCGTGAATATGACATTGCAGTGATTCAAAATAATAGATGTCATGTTAGTATCTACTGCTTCACGCTATTCCAACATTTTCAAATACTTGTAATGAGTATTTTCTTACTCCCACGTTAATCAAGATTTATGTCGTAACTTCGCCAGATTTGAACTAGAAAATATAACTTAATTAATACGAGTATAATTTATCTGCTATATTGTAATAGAATGATTCTCAAGTTATTTTGTGTTACTCAGGCAGGAAGGATTTCCACACAATATCAAAACATATCTAAATATAGTGTTTAAATTGTTATAAGCCAACAAGATCGTTGCTAGTGAGGAAGTTTGTCTCAGTCTACGCAATGCTTATGTCGTTCATTTTATTAAGATTTACATAACGGTTGTTAGAATTTAACCATTGCACTATTCATTCAATTCCTAGTTATTTCGATTTTCATTTTTTTATTTATTTGAAAATATCTAGTTTACTTTCTTTTCAGTTGGAAAGAAAAATGTCGGACGGTGCACAGACGACAAAAGCTGTACAGGAGGTGACGGAAGGAGTAAAGGACGTCAAGTTGGAGAACGGGAATGCGTCGGGAGCAGTCAATGGAACATCCAACAAAGAGGACGGTTCAATATCATTCAAGGTAAGTGTAGTCTAAGTAGTATATTTAAAATGCATAAGTAAACATTTTCATTAGACAATGTGTTTGATCTAGTTAACATATGTATAAGCTTTGGAACACACATACACTCACGATGAGGTAGGCAGCCTAACTCGAACTCTGTGTTGCCGTAAACTCAGTTCTCTTAGACAACTGTATATTTATTGACGTACTGCACAATAAGAAGGCGCCGGTTAGTCTCGTCACTTGTGAATGAGCTGAGGGGAGCGTTGCCTGCACCCTTTTATTAGTAAACTGATTAAGGATTAAGCGTTAAAAACACATCAGTAAAAATTAGGCTCTTATGATATGGGTCGACTTTTTTATCGCCATACTTGTACTAACCAAAAAGGCCATACGATTTTCAGTGCTGTTGTTTTTTAAAGTTATGTGCTTTGTTAATTTTTTTAACATTAGGCTTGGGAAGCCAATCATAGAGGTGTGGTTAGTATTATTGAATAGTCTGTTCCGGGTCAGATTTAGTTAACAGAAATAGACTGGCCATACATTAATAAATAGACAATCTTAAATTTACTTATCCACAATACGAACTCTTAAGAAAATCGTTAATTTCCCAAAACTAACATAAAGCATTTTAAATATGCAGTATTTAAATACCTATGTGTCTAAGAATAATGAGACATTCAAAGCCATATTTGTAACCGGGGGCTGGAGCAGATCTCTTTTAACTTTTAAAGGTTCAATGTGCTCCCATGCCTCAACAGCCCCTATTTGTTATGGATTAGTCCTTGCCTATCGGAGTATAGATATCGATACCCCATCAAAATGTTTGGTTTCAGTGACTACTTATACCTACTAATTATCGATAAATGGTCCTTTCGAAATTTTCTTAATGACAAATATATAAACTTGTAATTGTTAAATTACAGGAAGCGTTTAAGGCGTTTTCAAAGTTTGGGGATCCAAAGTCAGATGGTAAAACCATTACGCTCTCACAAAGCGACAAGTGGATGAAGCAAGCAAAGGTGATCGACGGTAAGAAGATCACGACCACAGATACAGCTATTCACTTCAAAAAATTGAAGTCTTTGAAACTCGGCAGCGATGACTATCAGAAATTTCTTGACGATTTAGCTAAAAGTAAAAAGGTTGAACTAAGCGAAATACTCAAGAAGCTGACTAGCTGTGGACAACCTGGAGTCGTTACACACGTAAGTTTGTCATACTAAGTATATCAGATAGGGGAGTAGTATAAATGAAAGCAGCATTAATATATAAGTATTTAGGCTACTTGAACATACATTTGCAGAAAAAGGAATAATATGTTTATAGATGAAAACTAAGTTGTAGTCAATTTATTTCATGTTCTACCTAATCATAATTTCTTTAAATATGTGTTTCTGCTATTATTGTTTGCGAATAGAGTCTTACTTTAGTCTTTAATCTATGAATATCATTTAAGAGATTTTTAAACTCTAATTACATTGAGTCAACCGAGTAAATAGTATTTCATAGCACGTAGGTAGGTACTCTATTACTTATATACTATACGTGAACCATATACCTAATACCGAATGCTCTCTGTAACAAGAATTATACCTGACTAAACTATAATAACAAGGTAATGTACGAAATTTAGACCTATCATTTCATTATTCACAATTATCATAACAAAGAACATCAAAATTACTCATTTCACACTTTTTCATCTCATCTGATCCCATCACCGTTTATAAATCAAACTCTGAAATTGTAGTGGGCAGGAATTGTAGTCAGATCTGTTTCTACTTTATAGGTGACCAAATCTCCTGCAGCCGCAGCAGCTGTCGACCGATTAACGGACACAAGCAAGTATACCGGATCACACAAGCAAAGGTTCGACGAAACTGGCAAAGGCAAAGGCATAGCCGGCAGAAAGGACGTCGTTGATGCTTCTGGGTACGTCTCGGGATACCAACATAAGGATACGTACAACAAAGGCAACTAATTATTAAAAGTTTGAAAATAGCTTATGGAAAATATCTGAACAGCAAAACTTTTAAGCAAATAAGCCGTTAGAAAACCTATCATTGAATGAGTGAGATGATCAGTAGTCGACAAGTTGACCTAACGACGTCTTCAGCATATATGGGCTGACTCGGCTAGAGTAGTACCAGAGCCTCACAGAAAACCGGCGTTGGGCAATTCTATGTTCAAGTCTTAGTTATTTTTTTGGTTTACAATCTTGCTTGTGTTTATAAACAAAAGCAAGAAATACAAACTATTTATTGTCCTATATAATGGGACTGGAGAATGTCATCTTACGTCCTTCACTAACAGCCAGTTCTTAATTCTTTGGTATTCAGATATTTTCATTAAGTTGTACTGAGCGACAGTACCTATATCTCAATATTTTTTTATTTCGACAGTAGGTACCTACTTACAGAATATTTTTATCAGTACATACCTACAATAAGTCTTTTTCTAATATAGCAACAAAATTGATAAAAGTTAAAGATTATAATGCATATATACCTAACTTTTCTAAACAAAAAAAGAATATATTCAAATATTTCTTGAGTACCTTCATGGTACTAGATTTAATGCATTTATGTATTTAAAGCTTTATATGTTGTGCGAAAAGACATTCCTTCCTTAAAAGTATCATAATATTTAATTAGCGGTAAGATCCAACGTTCTCCAGATAATTATTACAATTTCGCGTATTTCTTTGTCTAGTCGTGAGTAGAGTTAGATTCTTTTCAAAATCTTATAAAAGTCCATACAAGACGGTATTTAAGCAGTAACGAAGTAAATTTTCCCGAAGTAATATTATACTTACTTAAATCCTAAGAAAATGACGGCTACCCTGGAAGAAAGCTGACCAATTTGTACAATCAGTAGGTGTTTAAGTTACAGACCCGTTAAGAGTTAAGAGACCCGTTTTTGACACATTCATACACATATTGAGCAGAGCTTGTGGACATAGAAAAGACCACAAATTCCTGGTGATTTTAAATTTCATACTTCACATTTGTGTGTGCACATTGACTTCAAGAAGTACAAAATTTTTATAGATCATAGTTATTTGTTTATCTAAAAAAATAAAAAAAAATGGAACTAAAAGATGTGTCTTTCGGCTCATTCCAAAGATACCACTTCGGTTACCCTATTTGAACGAACACCTGGGTTTTTTATCATAAAAATTGAGAAGGAGATTCATTCGTTGGTCTTTTATCGTGTGTCGTATTTTACCTTTATCTAACATAAATGTTGTAATAACTTAGATCTAGTATAAAAAGTCTTATTAATGTACTAATATATATGTACAGTTTTTTATTACTGCGAGTCCGCACCTTCTCAATGCACTACCAATCTGAGACTACTAATAAAGGCATTTAGGCTAGGTAGAGGCGCTCAATAACAATACTAGTAATGTGTGACCCATGTCATGTAGTAGTTCTCAAATATAAAATTAAATATAACTCACAAAAACAGGTACTATAACAATGGTTTCATTTTACTTTAAACACAATGTGTTAAGTATGGTCTCAAGAATAACCTTCAACATTATCTAACAAAATAATAAATAATGTGAATTGGCAAAATACTAAGTTTTAAAGCTTTTCAGTTAACATATGATCTGGGTTTATGGATTATAGTCGCTATTCGCTAATACTATTTGCCATTTTACACTTGCAAAATTTTACATGTAATTTATTTTTTAAGGTTAAAAATGTTTTTCTATTTACTTTACATATAATTGTATCTTTTTTTAACAAATCAATGTGTCATATTACGTAAGCAATGCTTTATTTTTAAGTTGATAGTTTTTTAAAGGTTCTCAATGATTTAAGTAGCTATACATATGCATGAATTCACTATTATTACATAAGGCACAAGGTATATATCCTAAAATTTTGTTATCAATAAAATATCAAATCCGTTGCTGATGTTTTTATTTTTTAATCTTCAGTAGAATTTTTCATTTGTATTATTATAGAACATCGAAATGAAGCAGGTAGGGGCAAGTAAACTGATTGATATTTAACGAGCAGATTCCAAAGACTTACAGCTTAAACAGGGAAGGAAGAATAAATCATACTGGAATGGCAAGAATTACATAGAAGCAGAAGGTTATTAGACGACCGAAGATTTCTGTCATGGTTAGAGCAGAGATATAGGAATTGAGATATTAGATAAGTAGGTGAGTGGAAATGGATTAGGTACAACATAGTCAGCGCCCTAAAAGGCAGAGAGACAAGCTCCTAACTCTACACGCTCTAACTATATAGAGTTCTGCGTGAATCGTTAACTTCTCTACAAACCCCAAGTCCCTTAGTCAAAATGTGTGGTCTGGCCGTTACGGAAGAGTGACATACATGGGCATATCCAGCATTTACCTAAGGGTGGGGCAAAACTAAGAAAACTAGACAAATGATTAGACATTAATTTTCTATTTACTTCTAACCTTATTATACAGAACACCAAAACTGTTGTGTCATCATAATAATATTCTGTCAAAATAACGACTAAACTAACAACGGTGTTGCATTGCATTGGAACCTACTGCTTTCTTCGGGCTTATGAAAAGACGGACTGACGACTAAAGGAAAGCGGCTGGCAGCGGACTGCACAAGTCCGGGATAGTTGGCGCCCCTTGGGGGAGGCGTTCGTTCAGCAGTAGACGGCCGAGGCTGATGATAACAAACGGGATATTCAGAAACGAAACTGCTCAGCCCCACTTTTTGACTAAATTGTAGGGTTTATAGAAAATTTAAAACTGCTAGGTACACTGAGCTTATTTCAGTAAAGACGAAAGTAATCAATATGTTCCTAAATAAACACAGTCTCTCGTTTTTTGGAGTTTTTTTCGTCAATGTATCTATTGTGTCACAAACACAAATATTGTTGTCCAAATTCAAATTGAGCAAATCATGGTGTGAAGTAAACCAAGGTTAAGCTTAGCTTATCTAAGCCATTCTAAACTCAGAAGGTTTTAAGGTGAATCCGTATTAGGTATGATTTAGGAAGACTTAGTTTTGAAACAACTAAGTATTACCGAATTACACAAATATTTGTGTAATTGAGTAATACTTAGCACCGTGGCTACCTATCCCTCGCCACTAGCTAGCAATGCTGACGGGGATAAGTTTCATCCGGTCTGTCCGACCAAATTTGACGTTGGAGGACGGAGGGAGTCCTCCCATGCAGGACAGTCCTCCAACTAGTCCCGGTTGGACATGCGTTGGTGGTAATGTGCCGTGACCTCACGTCCGATTCGATTAAGAAGCAAGCAACGGTTCACGGTGAGTATTTGAGTCAATCGGTCATCATGCTTCTGTACGTGTAATGACGGATTAAGAATACGGAATGTACCCCAATTCATCCCATGGGTGTCGTAAGAGCCGACTAAGACAAAACAACGCAGGACACCAGCACTGCAAAAAGAAGGAAAACTTGACACAAACCCTATACCAACCCGTCTGGCCAGCGTGGTATAATATCCCACGCTGGCTGGCTGGCTCTTATAAAATAACGTAGGTCTGGCCGTCGTGGGCTCTTGGGCTATAAGGTGTACATACAGGTACATTTAAGGTTGACATCTAGGGTATATATTACCTAATTGCCACAACTTCTTTGCTTTCCTTTTCTGATGTCTGCGAAGATTGACGCTAGTGCGTGTATACAAAAATACAGTTGCTACAATTGCAGCAGTAGTTGAGATTACTCTATAAGCTGTAATAATAGACAGGGTGTCCGGTCAATGGCACTATACAGTGGACTGGTATAGGCGGAAGCTCTGACCACACAGAATAAGGCGCGCCTCTTACAGCCTCAGAGGGTAGTGGCTGAACTCTCCCGTGGGATTTAGAGGCGGAAATGAGTGGCGTAAGACTGCTCGCCCAGCCACGAAGACTCTTTAGTCGTTCCGGCTGGAGGCTTCAGTTACTGGCTTTAGCATCGTAGAGGTACTTCAGCCGATCATCGTCGAGTGGGAAGGGTGGCAGCACGGGTATTGGTCGGAATGGGTATGTAGTCGCGCCGGATCATGAGCCCGGAATGCTACGAAAAAACGCGCATACGCAGGCTCTGCGGGCGGGGCTGAGCTAACCAACACGTCGTCGGAGCTTTAAAGCATGATGACCATCATCATCATCATATCAACAGCCTTTAATAGTCCACTGCTGGACATAAGCCTCTCACTAGAAAGGAGCTTTTGGCCTACTATACCACGCTGGCCAGACGGGTTGGTATAGGGTTTTTATCAAGTATTGCGAGGAAGTAATCTCGCAGAAGGAGGCGGCGGAGAAGGCCCGGGAAGACGACCTCCACTCGGACCCGATCCGCCGCCGGCGAACCGGGCGGCGGAGGCGCGCTCACCTGCGCCTCATGCCGCCCTGAGTGTGGCCGCGGGTGGACGGGGTGGGTTTCCCCTCCACCCGCATTAGTTTGGCCAGCTGCGAGGGGGCGGCGTCCGCGTGTGCCGGACGTCGCCTAAAGAGAGGAAAATTTTGAGACGGAGCCCGCAACAGGAGCGGGCCGGCGCTAGGAGGGGTCCGGATGTCTTAATTACAGCTGTTCCCAGATCCCTCCTATTACAGGCGCAGAGTGGCACACCGTGTGGTTTTAGTTGGTCCGAGTCCGACACACCACCCCGCCGCAAACCCCGGTGGGTGGAGTCCGAGGGAATTTCCACACGTAAAAAAAAAAGGGTTTTTATCAAGTTTTCCTTCTCTTTGGACACCTACGGAATGAATAGGGGTAGTGACACTCCGTATTCTTAATCCGTCGCCACACGAATTGCATTGGTCGCATTCCGAAAATTAAACATTTTTGTGGCGTGACGTGGAAGTAGCAATAGGGTTTACAATAAACATTAGACGAATAACAAACTAAGACGTCGATTGGTTCAATTTATTTGACTTATATCTACAAATACATGTGTAAAGCACTAACATTTTACGAAATTAATTATAAATATACATTTTATTATTATACATGGTGGTACTATATTTTTTATTATTTGAAAACGAATAGTCTTAGACATAATTCACATCTGTTGTTCGACTATTATAGTTAAATTATAGAATATAATTAAAATAACACAAACATTGATTTCTAGCCCTTACTATCTAACATTAATAACATGTTAAAATAAAAGAATAAAATAAAAAGAATGCCGGCAATTAAATGAATACACTATTACTTGTGCATCAACGGTAAGTTCGTAAAAGACTACCTGAATTTTATCTCCAACATAATTTATATTTACAGACATGTAAATACATTCAATTGCCTGTGAATTAAGAGAATATAAAAAAACGAAGCCACTGCGTAAGGATAGTGAAAAAAATTATAAAACCCATTAGGGTAAAAATATTATTAGATATAACAATCAATATTGAAGAAAAACATTATTTTTACTAAATTATAATTATTTTACAATTTTTAGAAATAAATTTACTATAAATAAAAAATCGTTTTAATTTTAAATACAAAATTAAGGCGTCCCTTTTGCACTGGCACCTTCCAAATGTTCAGGTTGTCGTTCATGTTTCAGGTGTTACTTTTTTCATGTTTAATACGAACTAGTGTTGATGAATTGACTGATGCTAAATTTAAACCGCGACAGGGCTATCATATTTAAAAAAAACGTAGGTATATTGAAGCAGTTTGAAATAGTTCAAATAAATTGTCGCAAATAAATGTTGAATCGGCAAATAATGCCGATTCTGTTGTTACAAAATTATCTAAACTAGACTAAGTATCACTAAGATTTAGTTTGATCTTGTCAACGGGTATTATGACAACAAAGGACAAACTATTTTAGGTTGACACACCTAAAATTAGTTAAGTTACTCAACCTAGTCCACATTGGCTTTATTGTCTGCGTGTTGTATATTTTAAAAGGCCATAATATAAAACAACGACTATGTCTGTCTCTCTCGCTCTTAGGCGGGCTAACCATGCCCGATTGGTAGGGACGCGTGCCTCTCACTCGCTCTCATTGTGAGCGCATAACGTGAGCGGAGCGTAACGCAGTTTCTTGAAGTGTCACCCGGCAAACCAATTTATAAGACGTTGTCACGTCAAAAAACAAATTATTAGCTGTATACCAGGTAAACGTCATTTCAGTAAAGTTAAATCGGTATTCTATTAAAAATGTCAGAATTAGTGAATTCGTTAATTTCTGACTTTTCAACGAAGTTCAAATGTCAGAATTAATTTTATGTCATAACAAAAGAGCTCTTAACTAAAAAAGTCAATTTTAGACATAGTTCAGCTTAATGAAAGCAACAGAATTCGCACAAATGCTAATAATTATATGACGGTTTCGGTGACTCATAAGAAATTGTTATACTGTTCACTCAAGATAACGATTTGCCATATCACTGACTCATAACTATTTACTGTTTTAGCAATGAGCATTACTACCTTTTGATAGATACCTTAACACATAGCTAGCAGTGCTAATCACACCAAAACTTTAACCCGTGAATTTCGAAAAATGAACTCGTGCGAAATGATAGGTACCTTCTTTTTGAAATGCTAATTCGAAAGAAAAGCGTTCTAAAAGGGCTGATTAAAAATGGTCATAACATATTGATGAGAGTATTTATGCGTCAGATGTTTGTGTTGTTAATTGTATTATTGTATTGTTGATGTGTTTTAATGTCATAGGGTTAGATTTTGAATCTGACTATAAATAAAGTCGTTTTTGTACATTCAGCAAACTGACCAAGCTGATCACCTTGAGTGGGATAACTTTTAATCAGATGCTGATGAACAAAATAAATTAATCTATTGAAGCCTCAGTAACATCTCTTAATTTTTTTTATAACCGAGCGTCTTCTAAATTTTATATGTATTATTCAGTTACTTATTGTATATTTTTGTTATTTGCAATTAAGTCTACATTCATAGACAACATTTAAAAAACCTGATGTCCTAATGGCATTTTTTTGTCAATTTACAATTATAAATTAATGTAATCTAGAAGTATAAACAATTTATAATTGTAAAAGTTTTTCAGATCCAAAATATGCACGCGATTACTTTTGTATTACAACTAAAGTACTGTTATAAAAAAAAAACAATCAGTTCTTGCTTTGAAAATATTATTTAACAATGTATACATACTACATAGTAAATGAAAACTTCAATGTGTATTTCTGTTCACGTAAATACTGAATATCATATTTTTTAATGTCCATAGCTTTCGGCAATTTGTTTTACAAAAAATAAATAGATATTTACAATAAACAATCTGAAGGTACCATTCTAAAACTAGTTACCCGTCATGTCAGTTATGATATTATAGCTATTAAACTCATAGAATGAATAACTAATGGTGAAATAGTATAACCCTGTTTTAAATAATACTCCTAAACTTTTGAACATCATAAATAAAGTAATAGTAAAAATTAATCTCATTACATTTTGAGTTTAGTTGCATTTTACAATAAAGCTTGAGAGACGATGGGGTACAATTTGATTGTATACCTTTGCGTTCTATTATCTTTCATATATATATATATATATAAGTATATTTGGTTTTGAGACAGATATTGACAGGTAGCAATTAAAACATAATATTTGAGGTTCTACTATACCATAACTGTAGTGATACTTCATATAAGCACATACAATGTTTTTACGTCTATATTCACTTATCAATAATTTATCATTCAATTTTTAAAGACCCTTGCATTGCCATATATTTCAAGAAGGCAAAACTAAGGTTCTTTTTACATATTTGCCCAACATTACTTCGCGTGGTATATTTACTTGCAAAATCCAAGCTAACTAATCATCAAATAGAACAAACTCGGCTCTATATTGTGATGGTTTAAATATACTTTGCTAAAACCAATTCTTATATTATTACAATGCTATATGGAATTGAGAATTTCTCTATATATTTTCTAGTCGTACAAATGTTATCACAAGACCAATTTGAATAATTTATATTTACATTGGGCCCTCGATCGTACTTACTTTCATCGCAAAATAGTATACAGCTCGGCTGCCTAAGATGAGCGCGAGCAAGAAGCCAGCCACGTAAGCCACGTAAATGCCGCCTCCGTGATTCTTCGCGGCATTAATCGTTCCGAGAGTGACTCCCAGTGCGATGGCGAAGAACAGTATCGCCAGAACTGCAAACCCTGTGCCTCGGAGACGGGCCATGCGGGGCCCCACTGATGAAACTTTGCGGCAATGGGGACATCGTACTGGAGCGTTTTTCAATAGCTGATACTGGAAATGACAAAGTATTTATCGAAGTTCAGTGACCTCTTTCTGTTTATGTTGGTCTACGCATTTAAACCAATTAAGATAATAATATTATGTTTATCAAAGGCGGAAATTTATCAGTTGAGCTTTAGAACAACAATGAAACATAACAAAAGTAGATTGTAGTAGCATTATTTTGTTATTCTCTAATTAATAAAAAGGAAACCATGGCATGTATGTGATGTGATGATTTCAGTTTCAATCTAAGCTCTGCCACTAGGTGTTTTTATATTCTGTACTTGTCAGCGACTTTGTTTTAATTTAGAAAATGGAATGAAACTGAGCTTGCTATATACTCATTTTTTTAGGGATTTAACTGACATGATGTTAACAATATCCAGCAGCTACATCAATTTAATTAACAGTAATAATCATGTAGAATCACATGACATGACAAATATTTATTTGAAAAAGTATTTTTCTATATGGTATAAAGAGGGGTAAACGAGAAGACAGGTCACCGACAGGTAAGCGACTACCGCCACCCATGGACACGTGCTACTTAAGTCACAAGTGAGTTGCTGCCCTATGAGTTCCACCCCCTAGAATCAGGGGGAAAGGTAAGGTTGGGATCCGGTAACCTCACTATCCGTGCGGTGAGGGATCAAGAATACGGAATTTCACCACCCCTATTCATCCCGTGGGTGTCGTAAGAGGCGACTAAGGGAGCAAACGACGAAGGACAACAGCACTGAAAAGATCAGGAAAACTTGACACAAACCCTTTACCAACCTATCTGGCCAGCGTGGTGGCCAAAACCTCCTTTCTAAGGAGAGGCCTATGTCCAGCAGTGGACTATTATAGGCTGTTGATGAACCTCACTATGACTCCGATGGAGCCAGCCCGTGCGTGCCGAAGCATGGCTCTCCCATGGTTGATCTAACGAAATATCGTCACTATGAAGTGATTTAAAAGTAAGTATATAAGTATTCTATCACTCAATCTAGCTTCCATAGTACAAACTCTTGATGTGGCTTGAAAGTAGACGGCGTTGTATGTAAGATGTCCAGAAAATATTATATGTAATTTAGGGTTTAGTAGTGTTGTTATTAGAGGTTTTAGTAAAGGTAGCATTGCAAGGCTTTTTGATACAGTTATGTACTCAACTCAAATGTAAGACTGCCCATGAAAAACAAGTATTTTCACATTACGATTAGGGTTCATTTCTTCTATTTTATACAAAAATAAAATACTTGTATTGTGTATGTGTCACTGAACTCATGATGAGAGTTGAGTGGAGTTGAAAGTATTAGGATTAATGCTATTGTTTAGTCACAGCGGCGATTGGAATCTGTCAGGTTATGTACCGAAATAAATCTTTCTAAGGAAAATATTCGTGCAATAATTTTCTACAACTTTAGAAGGGGCCTGACACAGCTTCAGTGTTTTGAAGAGCTAACATCTGTGTTCAGTGATGAAGCCCCATGTATGCGGACTGTCGAAAGCTGGTATTTAGAATTCCAGCGTGGACTAGTGTTAACTAGTGTTAACGTGTGAACTAGTGTTAACGTGTGAACTAGTGTTAGTGACAAATCTCGCGAAGGACGCCCAAAATCCGCCTTCACTGAAGATAACATCATTGCTGTGAGACAACTAATTCTCGAAGATCGTCATGTGACGTATCGAGAGTTAGAAGCTCTATTAGGCATCTCAGGGACAACCATTCAGAAGATCTTGCATGAAGCGCTTGGTGTGAGAAAGCTAGTTTGCCGTTGGATACCGCATCTGCTTTCCGACGATCACAAGGCGGCCCGCGTCAGATGGTGTAAGAAAACTCTGCAAAGGTTCAACCGAGGAGAGTCAAATCACGTCTACGACATCATCAGTGGTGACGAATCTTGGATCTATGCCTACGATCCTGATTCCAAACAACAATCTACAATCTGGGTCTTTCAAGACGAGCCAAAGTCGACTAAAGTTGTTCGTTCTCGAAGCACTTCAAAGAATATGGTGGCCACGTTCGTTAGAAAAACCGGCCATGTTGCGACTATTGCACTTGAAGATCGTAGAACGGTTAATGCAGAGTGGTATAACACAGTTTGTTTACCACAAGTCTTCGCCGAACTTCGAAAATCCTACTCAAAGCGACGCATCATCCTGCACCACGACAACGCAAGCTCACACAGTGCTCGTCAAACGATTGAGTATTTGAAGCAGGAAAAAGTAGAAATTCTTGACCATCCTCCATACAGTCCTGACCTAAGCCCTAACGATTTCTTTACATTTCCTAAAATTAAGAAAAGTCTTCGTAGTCAAAGGTTCCAGTCCGGTGAAGAAGCAGTCGACGCTTTCAAGTCAGCCATTTTGAACACCCCCACTTTAGCGTGGAATAAATGTTATAATAACTGGTTTGAGCGAATGGAAAAGTGTGTGTACTGTATGCTGTGAAAGGCAATTTTGATCTACATTAAATGCCCAACGAATTTATCGTATTTATTGGGATAAGGAATAATACTATTTTGTTCAAAATTGTTTCGTAAATTACCCATTATTTTTTTGTATTATGTATAAGATAAAAATGATTACTGTGGGTTATCCTAAGGATATAGACATACAATTGCGGACTTTTTTGTAGATATTTATAAGACATATAATTAAGTAGTACATTATTTTGATCTATCTCGTAAGTTTTAGTCGGCGTTTGTAATGTAAGCGTACAAAGACATAATATTGGTTATGAGTTCATTTATACATAAAAACCCGCGTCTTGAATCACTCTCTCTATTGGTGAAAACCGCATTAAAATCTGTTGCGTGGTTTGAAAGATTTAACCGTAAAAGAAAAAAAAGGGGTTCATTTTATACTATGTAAAGATTTTTATTAGCTTAGGCATTTGAAGTGTGAGTCATCCTTGGCAGTCAAACACAAGAATCTTTGCCCTCATAACCGTAAGCTAAATAATACTATGAACTGTGCCCTAATTTAAATAAAAGTGTAATAAAGATCATGTGAGACAGAGTTATCTATGTACTAAATATTTTAGACATAGTTAAGATAGAAAGGATTCACTGTAGGCTCATTCACTAATAAATAAAGAAAAAATATACAAATATTATGTATAAATAAATTTTAGTAAAGATGACTGTCAGTCAAGGTCAGCCACTAATGAGTGCTCAGAAATACCTTGAACTAATGTTTGGAAAATAATATTTTTGTTTGTATAATTTTGAATTGAAAAAAATATTTAACATTATTTTCAAATATCTTTGTTAACATATAGTATATGGTCCAGCATTTGAGGAACCATTTGTGAGAGAAAAATCAATTGCATAAGAATTTGTTTGACCTCTCATAAATGAATCACTGTGTTAAAAAAACGGTAGGATAATGAGAAGTAGCTCATTAATGACTGGTTTTAATATAGATGATTGCATAATAAGTAAGCTCAGCAAACCAGTTTTGGGCAGATTTAAATATGCCGACAACAAGTAATGTATACTAGTTCAAGTAGAAAAAATAAGGTGTATCAATGGTCATTAAATTATCATAAAAAGAGACATAATATAATAGTCATAATATAAATTATTATAAAAAGAGAATAAATTTTGATTGCTGTAAATATTGTAAGTATTATATTTACCAGAAAAGTATCTTGGCAATGAGCACAGATGACCCTGCACATGCCTGGTAAGGTTGGCACTGGTGGGGTCACTGGTGATGGTGCCAAGTTGATGATCCTCTTGCAATCAGCACGGGGACATGCAATCCGTTGTGAAGATGACTTGCAAATCAACAGGCAGTTGCATGGGCAACGAACATACTTCTTCCCAGGTGGAGCATTTCTTATAGGCTGAAAGTTATATGATTTCAAGTTTGATTTCCTTCGTAAAGATATTTATAGCATATTTTTTGTATATAGTTTAATACTCAACAGCAATTTTAGCTAAAATGATTATTTCTAAGCTACTACACTTTTAATTTTTTGTAGAAAAAAAATATGTGAACATACCGTGGCTTCATTGCATTCTGAACATTTCACAACATGCTGTTCCCTCTTCCCAGATATATCGATCATAGCCTGGCACACGCGGCATGTTACCATAGGCATTCCTGCTTGCTGGTAGGGCGGAGGAAGTTCGTCAGGTCCAATTGGAGATATTGTGCTTACATTTACCTCCTCTATCATACAAAAACAAATATTGGCGTGAGTATGAAGTAGAAAATACGTAACAAATCATGTAATAACTGGTAAATCTGTTGCACAACGTATTCATTTCGATCAACTATATTGCTGACGATTCCAGTTAGGTCGAAGAATCTTAAATGCATTGTTTAGTAACAATAATCGTAGTCTAGCAAAGTTGATTCATCAGCTGTCATAACAACAAAGCTACTTACCATCTCGAAGCAAGGGTTTACTTTCACTTTGCCCGTCCCCCATTTTTAAGCACTAAATCCTTTATTAATGCAATAACTCGAATGCGATTATAGTAAATCACGAATTTAATAGAAACTCTAATGGTACATACTGTAATTTGTGAAACCTTATTTTTCTGTTTTTTTTTTTAACTAGGTTCCACGTTTGGATACACCTAGAATGCATCACCAGCAAAAAGCAGTGTTGAATTAAAATAAATATGTAATCATATGAATTTAGTCATAAGAATTTAAACTGTGCGAAACCTATTTGGTTTATAGACAATTAACAGAGTTTTATTAACTAAAACATTTATTTTTGTAAAAATGTCAAAAATCGTAAAAGACAAGTTCTCCATCACATCACTAGACATGGAAATTATAGTTACTTTTAAATCAAATTCATTTGATGAAATTATTGGGTTTAGTCACAGCGACTTCACATGTGATTGTGATTTTGTCATAGACAAAAATAAATGGTATTAAAATCAATCAAATTTCTTTTTACTAAAGATTACGTTCTTTTTTATTAAGTTATTCCTTTCGCGGATTTGCGCTAGCGTTATAAAAATAATTAAGTGGCAGAAGTTTTGTAAATCAGTCACATGTGCGATGATATGACTTATAAATCGTATGATTTCATCATGTGTGATTGTGAACTATCCCTATCACACAGTAAACGGTTTTTTTCTAATAGGAGCAGTGCAGTAAATCGATCGTTAATTATTCGGGGTTAGCACTGAACACACCTTCTCAAAAATATTAGAGACCGTTATATCGAAACGTCTATGTAATTATTGCAAAAAATATTAAATATTTAACAGCAGTCAAAATGACTTCAGGCAAAATAGATCAACAATTAAATAAAATAGATAAAAAGGAATATGCAATTGGTATTCTATTGAATATGAGTAAAGCGTCCGATCGAGTATCCTATAAAATATTACTCGACAAACTATAGTCTATAGGCGTGAGGGGTATAACGATCAAAATTTGAAGATTAACCTTAACAAGTCTTGTTAAAGTTCATCTGCAAATTTTGATCGTTCACCCAAATTATTATTTTATAAAGGTTGTGGTCTATGGAACATGGGAAAATTATTGAAATATCATCCTCAAATAAGACAGTCTGAGCTTTTATGTCTTTAGGCAAGCCGTTTATTTATATTAAAAACGCTACGCAAAACGCTACTTTAAGGTATGAACATGACTATATTTGCTTTTTGCGATGGTTAATTTGGTGCTCCTTGTGAGTAGTGCTCTATTTCTACATACTGAATTCTATGTTCTAGGTAGGAAGTAAACCAACTGTGTGCTATACCTCTCACGCCTATAGACTATAGACCACATACAACATATACAATATAGACCACATCAGAAAAACGAATTACTTAAGTATTAATTACACATTTAATAACACTAAAATACAATGTGTTGACGAATTCTACTTATTAGGATTTACTGCAGATACCTTCATTAATTGGAAAGTTCACATAGATTATCATATCAAATAAATTAGCAAGATTCACTTATGCGTTATATGAACTCTTCGATCAACAATAGCAACTAGATAAAGGGTCACGTACAAAGTCAAAGCTAAATGCTGTCCGCGTGAATATATACTTATGCAGCTACATTTGTTTACGTTCAACCTAATTACAACTATGGTACACAGTTATAAAGTCACAAATCTTCAAAATATTATCTAATACTTACGATCATTCCTTGCAAAAAACGAGCAAAGGAATAAATTACTAATATCACTTTCAAATGAAAAGACATAACTTAAATAACATTTAGTGTAAAATCAACTTTATTGAGCAACAAATAAAGTACTTTTTCTCGTTATTGCCTTGAGAGCTACATCGTTTTGTTTTGTTTAATTTTGCTTCTTCGAGTTCTACTACAGAAGGTATGGAGTCGCGTTGAACACTAAAATAATTTTTAATATTAACGTAAAATATTAGTTGCTTACTTTTTATGTTTCGGACATCTATGTATGTTTGTTAGTATCTTTACATTACTTATTATTTTATTAACGTTACATTTTTGTGTAATATGTATTTACTTTATCACATATAATGTGGTATTTACAAAAGCTATTTAGACGGATACAGTATTAATCGTTATCAAAATAAATACGTTAGTTATCTTAAGCATTTCATACACATTATAATAGCCCTTTCCACCATACAATTTAAATGAATATGTTAGGAGATATCTTAAATTAAACTTTACGCGCGAGTGAATAAATTCGCGAATAAAACTCATCCAAACCAACAAGCTAATGCAAAAAATGTAGGCATTTAATGCTTTAAGCGACCCGCCCTGACACCAAAAGCAGGACCCGCACAGATATACTAAATAAAATATCTCTAAATTCCACATCTTTTTATGACACCTGCTACTAAGTACTTATGTATGTATATTTGCTGGGAAGTATAAGTATTTGTTTTTATGAATATAAATATGTATATGTATTGTTATATATTTGCGAATGTGTATATTTATTATATTATATATATATGTAGTTATTATCGCTTTTATATTCGTTAGTAATTAACCTTAAAAACTCATTTCACCATCAACTACTACTATCTCTCCCGAACATTTTGATCCATCCTAAGGTTGCCTGGAAGATTGTGGAAGACATTGTATATCTAACACTTTCATGTTTCTTGTAAACTGGTGTATATCTAGACATTGTATATCTAACACTTTCATGCTTCTTGTAAAATGGTGTACAAATAAAGAGTTCTATCTATCTATCTATCTACTGCTAAAAAATGACTCACTTGCACTTCAATGTCAGATACTAAGAGTTTAGTATTGGGTGCTGCCAATTGTGGGTCGTTCGCGGGGATTGAATCTGTGTTTTTTAAAAAGACTTTAATAATGGATAAACATGAATTCCCACAACACAATGATTTATCACGTCACAAATACATTTAAGCAGACAAGAAAAACAGATATAAAATTACATTTCGATTGTGAATCACTAATGAATGTACATGTAATTTAGGAACTGCTGTTTTAACCAATCGACGTCGGTTATTATTTTCGGATATATCTAACTTATCAAAGTGATCCGAGCATATAACTGAATTCTTAGCTGGCTTATAAAAGTCATCTCTTCTTTCTCTGGCGACAATCGAGATCCACTCTGCACACGTAAAAGGATTGCTAGGAAAGCTAAAATAAAAAAGGAAAGCTAAGTATCTAATGAGAGTCCAACAAACAGACACAAAAGTAGCTTTAACTAATTTTAACCAACCAATTTTGAAGTTCTGTTAAGATTTTTTTTTTAAATTATTACACCATAAATCTACTCCATGCATCTACTGTTCTGTTAAACAAAGGTTTGTGCGTGTGTTGGCGAGCCTTGGCCAAACATTTGTAGCGCTGGTTTAAAATCGGCAATTTTGTTCAAAATTTGATATTATTTATTAGTTTAAAGCTTAAAATACAACTTATTCTTCATGTACTTACCGAAAGTAAGATACTATGGCCGTTAAATTTCGTTTTCGGGAATTATTTTTGCAACTTTTGAATACACACTGCGGCATTGTGAGACGTGTTTACATTGGCTGTGTTTTAAGCGAACCAAACAAAATAAGAGCTCACGTCTCAAGTGCGCTCTTATTTATCGAGACGTTTTTTTGCGCCGACCCGATATCTAGTTGCTATTGTTGATCAAAGTATGAACTTAAAAAGGCAACAGACTTGAGAACGGCCATGAAACCATACTATGCTTACGGCTGAACTACGGCATTATACTGTAAGGTAATAGTGTGGACGCTGAATAACTTTTTCTCCTACAAGAGAAATGTATTAGGATCATGGTAAATATAGATAAAATGGATAGCACTAAACCGCACTTCAAAAATCTCAAACCTCTCACAGTAACTGGTATGTTTATATTGGAAATCAGAAAATTTGGCAGAAAACATTCATCACTATTTCCTTTGGTGAGTGACCAACGCCCTCAGCAACGCAATTTTCGTTTTAAAAATAAACTGTCTGTACCAAACTCCACGATGGCTAAATTCCACTCGGGGTCCTATGCTATGTGCGTTTAAATTTATAATAAGGTTCCAAATCACATAAAGGAAATAGAAAATGAAAATCAATTTAAGAATAGGTACTATACAAAAGCTCCTGATAGCAAAATGTTGCTATAGCATAGATGAATACCTAAATGACAAATAAATAATTAGATGTTTATAGATACATGATGTTTTAAGTTCTAATAATTGATAATAATAAAATGATTTGAAATATATCTAAGTTGTAATCGTAATCTGTTTAATTGAATAATGGACACATAAGTTATGAATTACTTTAATTTTATTTTAATTAACTATATTCAATATATTTTACTTTGGTTTACATAACTTAATTAAGTCACATAATTTTTTATCGATTACTAATAAATAATATAATTTATTTTATATTCAGTTAAATGCATAGTGTTTTAAATGTAACTATAATGTAATATGACTGGTAAACTTGCTTGTAATATAATGTAATTGTTAAGCTTGCAATGTCCAAACAGGATCCATAATGATGCTAATGCTAAGCTACCATCTTATTTTACATTGTGGAATTGCAAACAAAGAATACTGAATACTTATTGTTTGGTTTTCTAAAGAAGTGTAGGTTCTTAGAGCGGAAATGGATATAGTATAAGAACTGTTGGGCAATTCTGTTTTTCGGATTTAGGTTATCAAGAGGATGAAAAGAAAGAGAAGATTTACGGACGGTTACGAACTGCATCTATTAAGTCTCCTGCATCCATGATTATAATAAAGTTGATGACAAAAAAGTTGCACTACGCAGTCGCAATCCACCTCTGACGACTAGTCGCTGCAAGTCGCGTGACCACTGGTCATCAGTCGCGGGCATGCTGTACTGAGCTGTTTAGTTCGATACGTTCTTACAATTCGGCGCTGCACGAGTCCTAATGGGCCAGAGTAGGAAATTAGTATACAGGATGGTCGTAGGTGCTCGTAGATGCTCGTGTTATAGCCTAATAGATAAAAGACTTAGATAATCTTACCTCTCTAACTTCATTATTTTTTAACTTACTAAAATCAGCCATAAATAAAATAACTTGAAATGGTACTTTAACTCAGTATATAGTAAATCAATCGTTAAAGAGGTAGAGAACAGCAGCAGATTCAAGCTCGGAGTGAGAAATTACTTCAGCCTGCAGAAAATCGTGGTTAAATAATAACGTGTTGTGTTAGTACGAAGGCGGGTCAATAAGTCCGTGACTTTTGGAATAAAACACAGATTTTTTGATAAATAAATCATTTTATTTTCAATTTCATGCATATTTATAATTCGTTTTGCGTACATTGTTACTAATTTTATTTTTCATTAGGTTACTCTGTTTTTACTACATCAAAACATAATATGTTGGAATTTCAAGGGTAAATTACTCTCAAAACCAATGCTTCCCTATACTTATATGTGTGTGTACAATTACTTAACTTTCATAGTACAAGCTCTGCTTAGTTTGAAACTAAATGACGTTGTGTGTCAGATGTACGAAATATTCTTTTTAATAATAATAAAAAAAAACAATTTTCATGCTCCTACACAGTGTTGAATTGTAACAAACTGTGTTCATTCCTTAATTTTCACCCTTAGCGATTTTTTCTTCAAATTTGAATGACAATCAAACGAAAAGTATTTAGAAATAAAAAAAGTATTTAAGAAATAAAAAAAGAATTTTCCAAATCGGTCCATAAATATATGGGTCCATAAATGACGACAATGTCTAAGTACGTACATAAAAATATACATACACCCGAATGTAGTATGCACCTCCTCCTTTTTGGAAGTCGGTGATGACTGATGACGCAGTTCTGAGGTAGCAAACCAAAAAACATAGTCTACTTGAGAACCTCTTCTATTACAAAATACTTACGAGTATTATATAATGCAACGCCATTAAACAAGTTGTATACAAAATAAAATGCATGAATCATTTTATTTTCAACGTAGTCTCCCTTGAGCTCTATACACTTTGTCCAACGCTTCTCCAATTTTTTTATCCCTTCCAAAAAATATGATTTGTCGAGGTCCTCAAAATAGGCCTTTGTTTGCGAGATGACTTCATCATTGGAGTCAAATCTTTTTTTACCAAGCCATTTCTTCAGGTTTGGGAACAAAAAGTAGTCACTCGGAGCCAAATCTGGAGAATAGGGCGGATGAGGGAGCAATTCATAGCCCAATTCATGGATTTCTGCCATTGCAACTGCACATGTGTGCACCCTTGCATTGTCTTGGTGGAAAAGAACTTTTTTCTTGGCCAAATGAGGTCGGTTTTTTTTTCAAATCGGTCCAATAAGTTGGCATAATATTCCCCATTGATTGTTCTTCCCTTTTGAAGGTAGTCAATGTGGATTATCCCGCGTGCATCCCAAAAGACAGTCGCCATAACTTTATTGGCTGACCAACCCACCTTGGCCTTCTTTGGCGCCGATTCACCCTTAGAAACCCACTGTTTTGACTGTTGTTTGGTCTCTGGTGTGTTGTGATGGATCCATGTTTCGTCCACGGTTACAAAACGGTACAAAAACTCCTCCATATTGCGATTAAACAACGCCAAACCTTCCTGTGAAGTTGTTACACGATTGCGTTTGTGGTCGACTGTGAGCAATCGCGGCACCCATCTTGCGGAAAGCTTTCTCATGCCCAAGTGATCATTCAAAATTGAAACCACTGAGCCATGCGAGATCCCTACGGCTTCCACAATCTTCGGTCGGCCAACACCATATCGTGAATTTTTTCGATTGTTTCGGGTGAAGAGACCTCAACTGGGCGTCCAGGATGTTCGGCATCTTCAGTGCTTGTACGGCCACAACGAAATTCAGTAAACCACTTTTTTACCATTGAAATCGATGGTGCAGAGTCCCCATAGTATTTATCAAGCTTAGCCTTGGTCTCGGTAATGGTTTTTTTTCGCAAAAAATAATGCTTAATACGCACACGAAATTCTTTTTTCCATTTTTTTCTCAAATTACTGGGTAGTCTGACAAAGATAGCTGTCAAACACAAACTAACTGACGCAGCAAGTTCAAATTTTGACAGGAGTCAACTGACAGATGCCTGTTGACAGGAGTAGTGTTGCTTTTTCAGTAAAGAGGTCAGAAATTCAAAAAGTCACGAACTTATTGACCCGCCCTCGTATTGTCGAATACAGAGTTTTTTTCTCACTCTCACACATAAATTTCTACGATATTTCAGTTCTAGTATCGATCACCTTAAATGATTATTATTTAAGTAAAGTTTTAATAACTATAAATAAAATCAGCAAAATAGTTTGCATAATACCTTGAGGTCTTTCTCTTCTTATGAGATGCGTGGCGTCCTCTAACTCGCTAACAAACTCGGGTACTACGGTGCAATATCTCAACATGGTGGAGAGTTCTTAAATCTTTGAATCCCAAACTCACAAGCGATATTGAATCATAACGAGATACCTATTTATTTATTTAATTATGATAGCTACTTCAATGACTTATTCGTTATTACATTCAGCATATTACATAATAATAAGATACATTTCTTTTAATACCTAGACAGCAATTACATAAAAGCTTTATTTTTGTCTCCTTATGTGTGTTCTAACGCTTGCGGGTTTCTTGAATAAAGAAGTATACAGGTTTTCAACGGGAGAAGCAACGCGCTTACAAGTCTGGCTGGAGTTCGCGTCGATCGATTACGGTAACAGCTACAGTACCATTAGATATGCTGGCTTACCAGCGATGCGATGATTTTATAAAAAAAAAAAAAATGAAATGAAATGCGCCAAAATTTTCTTTAATAACACGCAACTACCAATTCTTTATTTTGTAATCATATCGCTTTTTTATGGTCTGTAGTATGACATACACTTCGATATCGATTAATTGTTGATCCTACACTATCGTGGATTTTTTTTAACGGCAGTGGCTCCACAAATGTTGTGTGTCATTTATGAAAATCAAATCAAAGCGTCCTCTAGAATAAGGGTCCGTCCTCACAGCGATATTTTACCGCTATGTTTTTATTCGCGCTGATATAAATTAAATTTAATAAATTACCACCGTACTATATGTAGCTCCAAAGCGCGCCCGCCATCTTACCCCAGAATACAAATGTAATTATTACTTTTGTGCGATATGAGGAATGAATGACCTTAACGTTTGACGCTGTTGACAGCTGATTACATAAAACGTCGTTTGATTAATTACATTGCAGTTTTTGGCCGTATTAGGTGTTTCTTCTTTAAAAATCTGTGAAAATCTTCTGTTTACTTAGTGTGATATCATTTTTAACCAAACAAAAAAATTGAACGAAGTAAAAAAAAAGATGTCTATGCATGACATGAACCATACATTCATGCATACATTCATTTTTGACAGTTAGACATGAACTTCTGTTTTCAAGCAACAAAACGTCAAACCAACAAGTGTCTGGTCGTGTAATTTTTGAGGTTAAATGGGTGGGTGCATGGACTGAATTTAAAAAATCTTATGGAATATTAAGCATAGTATTACTAGTTTTGGTGTGTATATATCAAAGTGATTCTCTTATCATTTCAAATGGCGACTAAAGTACACAGAGTGCGATATTATACTCCAAAACCAGAACCTATCAATTGTATTTCATATAACAAAACAAGTAAACAAATAGCAATTGCAAGGTTAGTTTCTGAGACAAATATTTTATATTCGATTATAATTGTTTGGACTTTACCTGTTTTCATTTTATTTCTCTTTCTAGGCGTGACGCCTCCATAGAATTATGGGATGTGAACCATGCACCATATCTTATAAAATTAATTCCAGGCGTAAAGAATGGTTCTGTGGAAGCTCTTGGTTGGGTAAATGAGAGACTATTAGCTACTGGCCTTGGCGGTGCACTGGTTGAATGGGATCTTGATAAGTTGGTGTTGAAAGCAACAGTACTGCTCACAGGCTATGCAGCATGGTGTTTAGATGTAAATACAGACAACTCGTTGGTGGCTGTGGGCACTGAACAAGGATATGTGAATTTATACAATGTGGAAAATGATGAAATAGTTTATAAAAAACTATTTGATAAGCAAGAAGGCAGAATTTTGTGCTGCAAATTTAATAACACAGGAAATGTTTTAGTGACAGGTAACATTTTAAATCTTATAACTATGTATATAATTTACATTTGTTATATATGAATATCAACAATATTGTTAATTTGAGGTAAACATCTGCAAATACCTTATTATATTAACTTTTTAAAACTGCAGAAATCTTGCTATAACACAATGCTCACTATCATCAACAGCCTATAATAGTTTACTGCTAGACATAGGTCTCTCCTTAGAAAGGAGTTTTGGCCTACTATACCACGCTGGCCAGATGGGTTGGTACGGGGGTTTGTTTCAAGTTTTCCTTCTCTTTGTAGTGCTGTTGTCCTGCATCATTCACAATTTCACAGTAAAATTAAAAAGATGACATACAATAAGGATGATGCAATACATTATGACTGATTTACTAGAAAGAAATGATACACAATACCAAAAAAGTCAGATCTTTCTAGCCCATTAACTTCTCTCCTATAAATAAGTAGTCAATGAGCACATGCACACAACAAGCACTAATTGGGTGCCCTGCCTATTTTGTTTCTTGTCTTGTCTACATCCTGTATCTGCATGAACATTCACAATGATTATTGCTGATTGCTGCAATTGGAGATGCAGATGCAAATATTTGTAACATTGTTGATACACACTGGTTGTCCTGTATTAATTTGATAAGTAGAAATTGTAATAATTTTGAGAAGGTATGTGAAATCAACCTTATTACTATCATCTATTATTTTTTATTAATACAGTATGATGTTGCAGGGTCAGTCAATACCATAAGAGTATGGAACATAGAAACTGGAGAGGCTATAAACCGCATGTCAGTTAGTCGCCGTGGTAAAGAGGTTATTGTATGGTGCCTTGGTGTTCTATCTGATAATACTATTGTATCTGGAGACAGTCTTGGAAGACTTATATTTTGGGATAGTACTGTTGGTGATCAGGTAAAAAATATAATTTAAACATTTGATCTGTGATTGTGAGGCACAATTACAGGTTTAGCGAATAACACTTTACTCATTCTAGTATGGTAATGAGTTAATGTGTGAAGTAGTAGTTGGTATAAATTAAATAAGTATGTAGATATTAGAACAAAGTGATATAGTATAAAAAACCTGATGACTATATTTGTGTATGAGCTCTTTTGTAGACTAGGTATATGTTTTTTAGTTGTCTAGGTCCAGTTTACCTATTTATAAAATCTTTCTTCCTAATATTATAATAGTAAATAAAAAATAAATTTAAATTTTTCAATTCTCCTAACTCTAGGGACATCATCTGCCCCTAGAACATTAGACTAAAATGCTATAAATATGCCAAAGCCTTAACTCTTTTGTTGTATTGTAATTATAGTGAACTGTAATTAAAAAAAGGAAACATTAGTTGGGTATTACTGTTACAGCTATATTTCATGCTCTTATAATTCAAAATCGATTTGGGACATTTCAAATGAAAAATAAACTTAGTAAATGTTCTTTACTTTTTTGGTCAGTATTAGTATTTCAACATATATTATAGGTACTATTTATATTGAGAAAACTTTTAAAAATTTAGTATTGTTTTTTTCAGATTGAATCATACTCGACACACAAAGCTGACATACTTTCAATAGCTGTGTCTGATGATGAGAAAAGTCTGTTCTGCAGTGGAGTGGATCCAGTGATTATGAATTTTATTAAAGTAAATAAAAATATGGGTAAACAGATGGATGCACAATGGGTAAAAAATGTACAAAGAAATATTCACGAGCATGATGTAAGGTATGAATGCATAACTTAAATACTTTTTATTCTATATGATATATACCTATCTATAGGTACCACTAAAAAGAAGGATTTGTGATAGTGATACTTTGTCAGAATTGATCTTTCCAAAGGATATGTTAGAGTATTTTCTAAGAGAGGTGCCTCATTAGTGTCTTGCGTCGTCGCAACTGATCAACGTATAGTATGGCACACCTGCGTCGTGTTCGTGGCAGCGCAAGACTTTAGTATGTTCCTATAGCAGTGGGATACTGTCCGTCGTCGCATTGGAGCTCGTCCCTCCCTTACCCCCGCTTCGTCTCTCCTCCGATCCGTTGAAACGTCGCGCCGCGCGTGCGAACACGCATCGCGTTAATGTGTCATGTCACAAAATGATAATGAAAACGACGCAAAGCAACACATTAATGTGGCACTTCCTTTACTTTAATTACTTTTTACATAGATATTTTGCTACATGTTATTGATAACTCCATCCTCAAACCTTTCAAAAGCCTTAGGCAAGGTAAATCGCTCTGAAGATTGAATGCCACACAAAGCAGTCAGTATTTTGCCACCTGCAAATTCCTGCTTAGTGAAGATGTCAGTTTAAAAATTGTTTGTAAGGCTTATAATATATTAATCATGTTTTCATGCAGGGTTAAAAATAAGAATTTATTGAGACAACAGTCTTTTTACAGAACTTTGATATCCCCTAGTACTTGGGTTGTGAAGGTCTGATGGCAGTAGCTCCGCTTAAAAATCGAAGTGCAGCCGTCATAGTAGACCCCAACCTAGTTTGGGAAAAAGCCTCGGAAGAAAATAAGTAATCATTGGCAAGCCTTTTGCCTTTGGAATTACTTTTTGTTTAAATGTTGCATTTTATCAATCACATAGCAACAAAAATGTTCCATTTTAGGAGTATAAAACATATTAAAAAATGCATTTTTTTTCAGAGGCCTTATCATACATGGTGAAAAATTAATATCAGTTGGTGTTGATGGCTACCTCACATTTTCAAGCTACCCTCCAAAGTGGGTTATGCGAATCCCTCCAATGATTTCAGCGCCAAGGTCTGCTGTATGCACGGAAAAAAAATTACTGCTTCTAAGGTAACAATAGCTGTTCTTTATCATTTTCAAATGAGTTTTCAAGAGAAAGAAAGGGATAAAATATCATGTTTACAGATTTGTTTCATAATTATTATTTTTAAGATTAGCTTGCTAGTTAAACCGGCTAGCTCGTTTTATTGCCTCAAATGTTTCTGTAATACAAGCATTCAATACACTTAGTCTGTTATATTTTTTTACAAAAATACATGTAAAATAATGATTAAAGAAATCTGTCATGATACTACAAATTACCTTATATTATTTAATGTAATTTTTTTGTTCTATTTCTTTTAACTTTTTGTAACAATAATGAGGATATCACTTGCTGTAACTGTTTTCACATAGTTTTCAAACATAAAATATACTTCCATTTAATAAATTAGGCATTGTAATTCTCAAATACTTCAGTATGCTGCATTAATTTGATTTTATGTAAATAAAAATATACAATATTCTTTATTGCACACTAGTAATTTTTTTCTCTTTTCTCACAGGTATAGTAATTATCTAGAAGTTTGGAAATTGGGTGCATATGCTACAAACAATGTAGGTAATGTATTAGTAAATATTAGCTCTAATCAAGACATAAACACAACAGACAACAATGACATTGAGGAGGATTCTACAATTGACATCATCAGCAAAGCTAAATCAGAGAATACACAGAAAAAAAGTTTAAAACTAACAGAAAAACCAGTAAAGTTGGCCTCAATACAAACCAAGGGAAATAAACAGTTGCGATGCTGTGCATTATCGCCTGACGGAAAATTAATAGTGTATTCCACTGCAAGTGATGTACGGATGCTCAAGTTAGAAACAGTAAGTGCTTTGTTTTTTGTTAGTGATTTATTGACTAAATTAATATTGTAAATGCACAGGATATATTTTTAAGTAGCAATTTCCTGCCGTTTCACTAAAGTTTATGGTTGTGTTTCTGCTTCTAGACCTTGTAGCCTGATGTATAGCATATTTCATTCCTCTGTAAATACTCTATTACATACAAAGAGAATAATTCAAATATGACTGGTAGTTTCAGAGATTAATCAGCAATATCTTTGCAACATGGTTGTATTGACGATGACCATGTTGCTGGTAGATCTTGCACTAAACTGTATCATGTTGCATGATAATAAACTACAATGAAGTTCTGTAGGCTCATGATAAAGTTGCTAATCATAATATATTTCGGTTTTGTGTATTATTTAGCTATAAAAATTGTGAAGACTCCTCAACCAAAAAGGTCTTAATTTTTTTTCTATCTGGTTATAGGATGACGACCAGTCCAACATATCTCTATCAAAAGTTATAATTACCGGTCTACCCGCGGGTGGTTGTGACCGTATCGCGTTCACGCAAGACTCCCACATCATGCTCGCTCATTGTGCCGGAGTTCTACATGTGCTACAGGTGGATCCAGAAGCGGGTGCTACACCGGTGCAGACTATATCCTTAGATAAATGTAAGTTATTGATAGTCTTTAGACTTCAAAAAGTATAGTATAGTGATTTCTTCATTTTGTTGAAAACAATTGATATTCATTTATGGTTATTTAAAGATAGGAATTTGTGTTCAGATTTAAAGATTTGTGAAGCAGCCTCCTAAAAAATAGTCAACAGGTTTTGCTTTGTTTGCGTTTTTCTTTCTTGCACATTTATAATAACTTTTTACTCAGGTCTTCAATAACCTTTGATACATATTTCATATCGTAATTTTCAGATTTCAAAGCTAAATCACTATTACATCTTTGCATATCCAAAAAAACTCAGAGTGGGGTATATCTAGTCGCAGCTGATACTCAAGGCTCAATAGCTGTTTGGACGCAGAATGCAAAGAAATTTGATTATCACGTTTCATTACCAAAGTACCAGTGCCTGCCATCAGCACTGACAATAGACAGTGAAAGAGAAAACCTCATAGTAGCGTACGTCGATCAGAAGGTAATTATTGGAAAGAATTAATTAGTACTCTTGTTAAATTTATCCAGATGTTATGGAAGATTGTATAAAGAATATTAGTAAGTATATTATACCTAAGTTGACGTTAAGCATGATGAAAATCTGTGTATCTTTATATAGGACACACGAGTGCGTGTATTGCTTAATTATATCGCTGTAAAGTTAAATTTTGAGGTTAAAAGTAATCTAATAATTATAATAGAGTATGTGTCAACATACCTAATATTGAAGATATACAATTTGGAATAGGCCCCTGTTACTCATTTATAACAACGAATATCTTTGTTGCCATAACACCTTATTATTATTTTTAATAATCTAAGATTAAAGCAATAGGCTGGATTTCATCCCTATGAAACACCTTTTTTTTTTTCTGCGGACCCCTCGGATTATTTGCCCTCCGGACGACCAGTGGGGTGGTTATGTTGAACTCGACCACAATCGTACGGCCTCTTGGGTACCAGTAGCCGGAGAGCCAGTTTAAACCTAGAAAGGTAATCTCAATACCTTGACGGATCCCGGGCCATCAATTTTATATTTATACACTTCTGCTAAAATTGAGTAATTCGGAATCACAACCTACTTGTTTATTATATCGCTCATCTTAAAAAAATTATACCTACAGATAGTAGAATATGAATTGAAAGAGAAGAGATTTACAAAGTGGCCGGGAGCGGCGTTGCCCCCGGAGTGGTTGTCGCGCAAGTCCGCCGTGTTGTCAGTCACCGCGCACCCCACGCGGGACGCGGTCGTATTTCAGGATGAAAACTCGCTGTGGATTATGGAAAAGACTGTACAGGTAAATATATAGAGCTGTTACTTCTGTAACCCTACTTACACTTTTCTAGCTGTGATCATATTTTATTGTCGTACAGTGGACCTCGTAAGTGTATGTCAGATGTCCAAAATATTATTATTATTATTTAATTTGTGATTTTACAGATTTGATGGATGGACGGATTTGATGAAACATACTAACGTTGTTGTTGAAATATCAAGATTAGAAAAATAAATATGCGCATAAAGAAATAAAAAAAAAACAGATTCAATTAAATTGACATGGAATCGTAATACACATATTACATGGACAGTGTGTTTCTTCTTCAAAAAAAGCATTTTCCTTTTCCAAAGAATAGAATCAAACAAATTTCAAATTATTACATACACACACATAACAGTCATAAAATTAAATTTTCAATAAACACTAGTCTAGTTACTGTGAATATATGACTAAAAAGTTATTTTCTAGAGTTCAAATGTTAAAGTAATAGTGTTTAAAAATATTACTTTTTCAGGATGTGGTGGAACCAGCAGCTAAAAGAAAATCACGGCCAGGAAGTAAGAATGTTGGACTTAGAATTGTGCCTATAAAGGTAAGCATTAGGCTAGCCTTGGAAATAACAATATCCTTTCTAACTCATTCGCTTCCAAAACCTATTCACAAAACATGTAAATAAGGTGGATATTTTTTTTGATATTTATTCAAAATTACAGCTTTAGATATTTTCTTATTAGATTCTGCTCGTGTCCTTATGTGGTTTTAAGTTACTATGTTCAGATCAGATCAGTTGTTTGACCAACTACCAGAGGCCATAAATAATAAGTAAGTAATAAGTGGATAATTGGCACTCCACCATTGTGCGCTTTTCAAGAGACTGCCTCGCACAACCAATCTGTGGAACAAATTATCGTCTGGGGTATTTCCGGCCTGATACGACCTTTAAGAAAAGAGCGTACTATTTTCTCAAAGGCCGATAATGCTTGTGACTCCTGAGTTGCAGGCGTTCATGGGCGACGGTGGTCACTTTTCATCAGGTGACCCGTCTGCTCGTTTGAACCCTGTATCATAAAAAAAAGTAAGAGCACAATAGACCGAGGACCGGATGTCGATACTGAGACTACTGCAATGATATCAGAATTTCTCTGTAACGAGTTTTTTAACATAGTATTTCAAATATCCCAAGTACCCGATTGGTATTTATATTATATCTTTATCACTCTATACTCACATCAGGTCACTGGATGTTGCGGTTGATTGATATTGCGCTTTTAAAATTCTGTAATAAGTAAGTAAAGTAAGTAATAAGTGAGTAAGTAAGTAATAATATTTTTTTTCTCATAGTATTTGGCTGACTTTCACTGGATTGACAAGGACGAAGCAGTGTCACTGGAAATGCTGCCCGAATATATAGTGTCACAATTACCTGCAATGTCAGCAGTGAAAAGACATGGACGTATTTAAGTGAAATAAATATAATTTAAAAATATAAGTTTTTATTTAAAGATTCTAATTACAACCTGAGATGCTTAAGCTAATATGAATATGTTTACAGTATTTGATAAAAAAATAACAATTGAATATCTAATACTGCGGTTTTTCAGATTATTTCAGGCATAGTTGCATTCATACGATTCAACGCGCCAAAAAATTCTATTCCCGCACAAGATCCTCAGAGGTGACACATCAACATGCAACTACTGTAATGCTTGCAGTTTTATTTTATTCGTTTTTGAAATTGTACTTGAAGGAAAAGTAAAGACTAAAGGTGAGTAGAATAACATGAAGGTGCTATAAAGCAATTAGGAGTTGAGTCTTTCGCTTTCTTGTAGTACTTTCTGCAAATTGTCCCAGCCTAGTGGTGACACAGTCAATTGACGCGGTTGCGCCCACATCTCGTCTGTCACCTCAGATCTCGATGGTGGAAGTTTGTACGATATGGGGTCTCCATCGACGCTCCTGTAAGGCGGTTGAGTTTTTTACCAAGAAGGAAAGAGTGATGTTACGGTATTAATACTGTAAATAACTGAAGTTTTCAAGTAAAAAATAATACTAGAATGGTCAAAATCCATAATACAACTTGGTTCTCAACACAGGTACCAAAAGCTTCCAGAAATGCCAATAGGTATACTATTGGCATTTCTGGAAGCTTTAGTTTAAAAAAAAATATCGTAACAAATTAAGATAATGAGCCGTAACTCATTGTGTTTTATAAGGGTAACTTTATTTTGTGTTTTTTTTTAATATTCCGCCAAGGTCCAATGTGTGATGAAGGTGCGTGTATTTGTACTTTTGTAGAGCCGTAGAGGGAGAAAACATAACCTCTGTAGGACATCACTGCACTGAATCTGATCTTTCATAATTACAAAGAAAATTGTCCCTGACATCTATCAGGAGCTTTTACAGTACAGAAAAAGCGCCGCAATTTGGCAGATTAAATACAACCGCAACCCGGAATAAAATATGATCATTTTTATTCCGGGTTGCCCTTCTCACCACCGCCTGATTATTTTAGTAATTTTCTCGAAGCCCCGAAGCTAACCATTTATGTCTGTTGTTGGGCCAGGCTTACGAATTCATCAATTAAATTATTATCTACTCTGATGTGATCCGGGCACTGATACCATGTCTTAGAACAAATGAGGAGACCGTAAAGAGGACTTGCCCTATTGCGATATTTGGATTCATTCGCAGCAGACAACCGGATGGCGTAGTGGTCTGTGTTACTGACTGCTAAACCAAAGGTCGCGGGTTCGATTCCCGCTCAAGTCAAACATTTGTGTGCATGAATATTTAATGTTAGATTTGGTCTGGGTGTTTCTATGTATAATAAGTATGTCTTTCCAAAAATAATTATATCTGTATTTATACCAGTTGTCTAGTAGCAATAGTACAAGCTCTGCTTAGCTTGGGACTAGATGGCGTTGTGTGAATGTGGTAGGTAAATTATTATTATAGCTTTAGAATCACGGATAACGATAGGTGAACTATGAAAATCAGTAAAAATGTTATAATATACTTAAAAATATTTTTTACACCCACGAAACTAACAAAGGTTTGCAGATTAAATAAAAAATGTCTTTTAATATTTCTCCTATTCATGCAATTTTAGATTATTTATTTACATGCAATGACATTGACTGACATGACGTTATTAAATATATTTATTAAAAAAACATCAAATTTACTGCAAGTTTATGCAATTTATATTGATTTTTATGATTCTACTTGAACATTGAATATTGCTGTATTGATATTGATGCAACTGTATTTTTTTTTATTGTTAAGTAAGTAATAAGATATTTAATTTTCTTTTATATTTTTTAAATGGGAACTCCTCGGTAGGGTAAAGGCCTTGCAGATAAGATACGTAAGATCAAATATTTACGTAGGAGGATAAATCCGAAACTATTATGTATTTGTCTGATTTACAGAATTCGATGTATTATGTTCTTTGTTCCTTTGTCCCCCGAGGAAAACGGTCCTGATCGCAAAATTAAGAACTGCGTGACATTATACCTACGAGTACATATGGCTTTCTTATATAGGTTTTTGTAGTTCAAAACGTCTTATTCCAAGTGTAAATTTAAATAATAAAATGTAAATAAAGGCTCATATACCTATCTAGCTAATATTTATATTTTTTACTTTATTTTATTTATACATGTGTAAGTCAAGGTAAGGTTTAAAAACTACGTACCCTAAGAATACAATTGTCTGCTTGTAAGGGTCGTAAATTTGCCCGTGTCTTAGCGGTGGGCGGGTCGGATAATCTCGAGCGGATTTCACCAGAGGACCGTAACGTTCTAATGGGCATTGCGCACGCCGGCCAATCATACCTGTAAAGTTTTAATCTCATGTTAAATTAAAAAAAAATACAACTTCAAACCATACTTGTCAAATAATGGCAATTCCAAGTGTTCTTGTTATTAAGAGTGGCACTTTTTGTATTATGATTTAAAATCATCACTTGACCTATTTCTTAGCGTTCCATGCAACAGGCAACACATGCGACTACGACAGCGCCTGGGACTGGCGAGCCAGGTATAGGTTTAGGGAGTACTCCTTGCGACGCGTCAGCGCTCACTTTCACTGTCTGCTGTGTTGCCCCCTCTACCTAACAATATTTGATACGAGCCTAGCAATGTCGCTTTGGACATTCGTTCAAGAAAAGAGCTTCCTGAAGCTGTTGGCAATCCAACCTTTTTTAAGCAGGTTATAGAGGGATTTAGCTGTAATACCCCTCATATCCACTTCCACGGCATACAATGCAACGACATAACCATTTCCATTTATTTTGTTGTTTAAGTCAAAGTACTTGTTTCTTTTTAAAGCGTGGTCTTTAGGGATGTTCGTTTCCCACTGCACCGTGAGTTCTACTAGTACTACACGCTTAATTGAAATAGCATAAAGAAATATGTCTGGTCTGGACGCCAAGGCACAGATATCCTCCGATATTCTGTAATGATTTTCATACGTGTCTTCTAATAATGTCCAGGCACTGGCGGTACTTATAATTGACTACGGCTTTTGTGAAGTCCTTTTTGTTGAGCCTTCTCTGATGTTAGTTCTTATGTTTGTTGTTATTCCTTTTTTCGCTCCCGCCAGCGATAATCTTATAGCTTTCCGTCTGATTTGTAATACCTTATAATGGCGACGTGAATAATGACCCCGGTCTAATAGCGTCTTACAACCTGTCAGTAAGCACGGCCAGGCTGTACCTAATTCCGCACTGCACATCGTATAAGCGTTTTCTGTAGCTTTTCCCCACCTGACTAGGTTGTTTTGATCGGGGAGTCAATTGAAAGGCGTTGAGGTAAAATTTTAACAGGGCAGAAGACCTATCGTATAAAGTGTGCGCCATTTCAAAACTGGTGGGATACAAAATTCACCTAGAGTTAACCATTCATTCTGCATTTCTAAGTTCATTGGGTGCACCTTGTAGGTCTCGTTTTCATTTTGTTCGTGGAATTGGAGCCGTAACTCGAGCTCTTACAGCAATAATTGTATCAATTATTGGAAATAGATTACGTGTTTATGATCACGATCACAGCGGGTTTTTTTTATCAATGGTGGCAGGTTAATAGAACGGCCTATTGACCTACACCAGTTAACTAATTCTTGACTATTTCATTATGATACTTTTAAATTATTTAATCATTGTAAAACTTAAAGTCATAATCTACTCTTAAAGACTGGTCACCTGACGACGTGGGCGGTAAAGGTGTTGGAGATGGGTCCACGATTACTGGGTACTGTTTTGGCTCGGGTTGACTGCTGTGGCACTGTAGTGCTGCGCGATATTCTTCTACCGTCATACCTGTTTAATGATGATAACGAACAGCTGTTTTAATATGTACTTTAAAAAAACCCATACTTATTGGAATGTTATATGGAGGTATATTAAACTTCATAACATTATCCTACCTATTTTTCGAGCTTCATATTCTTGAACTTCTCGAATTTTGCTGTAGAAATACCATCTTTGGGGCCATAATCGGGCTGCAGTGTTACTTTTGTGAACCACTGATCGTCTGTAAATTTTGTAAGTTGCTTTAGTTAGTAAGTAACTTACCCATTGTGTAAATTGTTAAATATGGTTATATAATGTTACACAAGTTAGAACTAAAACAAGTATTATATCCGCTAATGGATATTAAACTTCAATTTTTGAGTGTTTTTAATAGGTATGTTTTAGGGTCACCTAGAGAGCAAGGTCAAATTAGTTTGACCTTACCCTCTAGGTGACCCTCACTAAGCCTCGAAGAAGCTTGGTGTGCTGAACACATCGAGGCAGTATTTCACTCCAACCCACCGCATCCTACTCTATAAGGCGCAAGTCCGGCCGCATACGGAAAAAAGGGGCACCCCAGTGGTACGGTTTCTTCCTCTGGACAGCATCCAACCGTGAGCGATTCGAATCGTCGATAGCCAAAAGATCTCCGATTGGTTCGACCCCTTGACGTTACGTAGAGATGTAGCTTCACATTCTCTATCGTAAGTTTCATATAGAGTGCTCCGAGGAATTTTTCGGACTAATACTGGCTGTAACTTTTCGCCATTGTTCGTCACGGTAAAATTTTCATCCTCATAACTTGGATAATTGGCACTCCACCACTGTGCGCTTTTCAAGATTCTTTTTACTTTGCACAACCAATCTGTGGAACAAGTTATCGTCTACGGTATTTTCGGACCGATACGACCTTCAAGCAAAGAACGTACTTCTTCCTCAAAGGCCGGCTTGTGACTTGCAGGAGTTCGTGGGCCGCGGTAGTTACTTTTTATCAGGTAAATTGTCTGTTCGTTTGGCCCTCTTTCATAAAAGAATACAATTAAGTTCTTAGTAAATCGTTTTTACAATGAAACCTACGAGTAAAAAGACCAATTTAAACAAAAAAATACGCTGTCCTTACTCTGCCACGCTTCGCTGTGCCACATTGTGGTTGCATTGTTGAGAAATAAGGGAGAAAAGTGACTCGATAAATAGAATTACGCATCTGTGAATGTTGTATACCGTGTCAAAATTTGAGGTCAATCGGTGTAGCACTTCTTGAGTTTTTTAAGCGAACACTAACATACTTAATATTTATATGTGTATAGATTTGGATGGAGCAGAAAAAGTAATACAATGTTTAGTAGAATTGAGAAATATATATATTATTATATATAACGAATATAAGAACATATATGAAAAACATTCAAACAGCTTATGTCAGATAAACATTAACTTTCTTGTCTTTGTTTATTATTACTTATTATGGATAAAGTGACTCAGTTCATAATTTTAATTAGTTAATTAATCTGTATTAAATAGTAATTCTTTATGGTCAATTGTATTATATCATTAATAGAGTAAGCTTCATAATATATATAATGTGTATCTAGAGATGTGGAGCTACTTCCTCGCGAAACCGTCTCAGATTATTGTAGGTAGCTCAAGTTGGAAAGAATCCTTTTTGGGAGGCCTTTTTGTGTTTTTAATTTTCTATAGTTTGTGATTCAAATAATGCCGCCATGTGTAGATAAATAAAGGTAAAGACTATTTTTTGCAACTCTATTTTTGCAATAGTGGATATTACGAGTGTAAAACGACAGAATAGACAGGAACTAGCCGTTACCAATTGAATCGAACAGTTTTCTCCTGGTCTAAAACCAGTGTGCTAAAACATTTAAGCATTAAGAAATATTAAAAATAACCTAGCTGACTAGACTAGCTGAGTCTAGGTATTTTAAAATATGATTAAATAAAGATTTAAATAAAACATACACTTACAAAATTCCTTGATCCTTGACAGGGTCGGTAGAAGGTTCACGACGTCCTCCAATATTGGCAGCAGCTGGTGCTGCATTCTCCATTTTATAAATGAGTGTAAAGCTAAAAAACTGTATTGTGGTGGACTTTATTCTAATACAAGCGGAAATCTACTAAGTTCGACATTCACTTCCACTCCCTTTGTTCCCTCGGCCGCGTGCAGAATGTTGCTTGGGCGATGGAGCAATCGATCAAGCTATAAAAAGGAATAAATAATTTACAATCAAAAGTCATGGTTAAGGAGCCTGAATTCTAATATCATGCAATGAACATTAGTTGCATGATATTCGATTTCTATATTCCAGTTAGACTTGTAAGAACTTTGATAAAAATTGTACGTGTATTTTAAGAAACAATATTTCAAATATCGGATATTATTATATGTTAGCTTATTAGATATCTATTTAGGCATTCTATGCTGACCGACGAAGTAAGCATGTTTTCTATTTTATGTAGATATAATATGTATCTACTTGTAGTATAGTAGGTACAGTTTAATGCTTTAAAACTATTAGAGGTAGATACATTTTAAGCTACAATGTTTAAGCCAGTATTTCTGTATCTTGATAAAGAAAAATCATAGTCTATATTCTTGATAGTTTGACATGAATCTAGTAAGTAATGTGGTCGTAACTCGTAAAATCTTCAGTGACGAACAACGTCAATTGTAAATTCAAAGATTCGTTACCGACGAGCGAGACGATGTCGGTCGGGACGTCTAGACTAGACAGCCTATAAAGTTTCTCAACCGTATTACTTTTATTAAACTAAAGTATTTTGGAATAGAAGAGCTTGTTCGCTTTATAAGGTGAAAAGAAGTGACCTACGGTGATCCTAAATCCACAATCTATGTCATGGGGTCACAAAAAGGTCTCGTTAAATTTTAGGAACGTTATGTGAAGTCGACCAACACGTAATTGAAATAAATTTCAGAACAAAAGATTGCATTAAAATCGATTTGGCCAGTAATTAAGGCGTTCAATATATCAGGCCCCCGAATAAGATCATCAGCTCCGCGGAATAACCTACTTTTTTTTAGAAGTTCTTTTCAGAGGATTTGCAGTGATGTCATTAGAATTTTATTGGTTTGTTTGTAATGTTTTATGGCTGCGATCTTTTGTGGGGCGGAGTTGATTTCCAGTCAGGCATTGCTCATCATTCGAGCGAGTTGACATTTCGTAGTAGGTGCCCGAATTCCTGAAATCTGCTGTTTATCCCTTATTATCAATTGATCGGTATGCTTCATTTTTAAATTAAGTTGTAAGAAAAATGACGAGTTTATCGTTTTAGTCTTACTTGTGACTGTTATATAAAATAAAATCGTTTGATGTGTTTGTAGGTAAACGTACTTGTTGTAATTGACCAAGTGTGTGTATACTTGGAACATAGTGATAGGCTAGACAGAGACGAAGGGCGACGGAAGGGCAGACGGTTTGCACTGAGAACGACTTACTTTGCTGGTGCTCGTAACGTTTTGTAATAAAAAGTAAACAATAGAATATTTATTTTAAAGTAGATTTTTGTTATAATAAAATATAAAGTTTTAAACTGCTTTATAATTTTGAATTTTAGAGTGTAGGTATGTATTTACAGTCTTGGTCTACCAGTTTTTAACAATTACGCAATGCTCTCTTTCTGAGAAGCTACAATGCTCCAGAAACAGACCGCTGACCGGGATCGGGAGAGAGCCGACCCCGAGCGTAGAGGACGTCGGCGGCGATACCAGCCGTCGACGAGGCCACGGGCTGCTAAAGAATGGGAACCTCTGGTGGCAGATTAATTGCTGCAGTAGGGGATAGGATGGCGGCCCGATCGCGTTAAGGCGCAATCGGGCCGCGACGCCGCCATTGAAGGGGGAAGTCATTTCCCCTGGGATAGGGCCTGCTTAGGCATGGTGGGTAGCTGCTAGGTCCTGAAATCACATGGTCCGTTTCCTCCCAGAGTAGAGCGCCTGAAGCCGGAAGTCGGGGTTGTTTTTAGTGTAATCACCACATACTCCTGAGTCCTGAGTCTCCAAGGAGAAGGAGATCCGAAGGGATTTTTCGCCCCGTCAACAAAAGAAAGGACGCTGTTTACTAACCCAATATTTTATCTGTGCTGTACTGTGTATTCTTTACTGTTGCTGGATGGTATATAAATAATCTGAGAGTGCTCGAAATTCTGTAGTGGTCAAAAGTATTGACAGTGGTCAAAAGTAGTAGGTACTTTTGAGCGTGAATCGAGTTAATAAGGTGTATTGTGAATGGTACAATTTTTAACAGACAAATAATGAGGTAAAACAGAGGTGAAGATATCTAGTGATTGATGAGTGACAAGGAGAAGTTTATATAGTATTATAGTACTTTTAAACATGTTAATTTAACTAGAAATTATCAATTATAGATCTCTTGTTATTGATATATGTGTAATAGAAATAAAGAAAATTTGGTATATAATATTTTAAAGATATTGATTCTCTCGCTTGAATAGCGAGTTTTGATAACAGATTCATCAAAGTTTACACCTGGCCGTGTAACCTTTTAGCACAAGTTTGCATTATTTATGCATATACATACATAGGAATATAGTGTTAATATCTCGTGTTAAACGAAGTCTAGACACTATTAGTAACACATATTAGACCTACAAACGTATCAAATACATCATAAAACGTTTGCAGATAATTTTTCAGTATTGAGAGCGTCTGGGTTACTTTGACCCACACAACTAAGCTAATAAAATTTTATCGCTTGACTGTCTAGGAACAAATGAGTGATATATTTACAATTGCATGGCTTAAACTTCAACTTCGATACCGTGGAAATTTTATTACGACGTATCTCCGACACTTGTAAAGGTTCAGGTTTTCTTTAACATCTTTCTTCTCTTCAACTCAATTGTCTTTAACGTCATAATATGAAAAAGGCTATCTTGTTAATATTAGCGTAGTGTTAAAAAGATCGTATTGCGTTCCTGGGTTAGCTTTGCGAACACTTCAAAATAAGCATTACACATCGTTTTGCACAAAACTGGTGTGGTACTGGATCTGGCGGACAAACAATTTGGACACTGTCGGGACTTTTAGTGGGTTTTGCGCGGTTTTTTTTCTGCAAAGCATTTAACGATATCCAGTCCAGTTATAGTTTTATAGTAAGTTCAGGCATAGATACAGGCCCGTTGTACTCCTCTGTAAATGTTGTGGCTCTATAAACCAGCGTAAAAACGGCTCAGGTAGCTGTAGTTGCTGAATGACTTCCATGCTGCATAGATACAGCCCTGGGAGTGCCAGGTGAGGCCGTCTGTCACCAAAAAAAAATGTATACTCGGACGCCTTAATAAAAGCTCTTTTAGGATTCCTCTTCTCTCAGGCGAAGTGCGTGGTTTTAGTCGGTTCGATTCTGAGACACCAATGCTATGCTTGCCTAGGGCGCTCTTGATACTTACTTAATCCGCCTCTGACTCAGAGGAATACGATCTATTAACTTTTTAAGTCTCAAGCTTTCATTTTAGTTCTTGAATACTTTTCTAATATCATTTTTGTAACAACATTGTTATTATAAATGCCTTTGTCTATTGGGGGGTCCTCAGAAGTACATCGAAGATCGATTAAAGTCTAACTGTGCTTATTATCTTGATATGTTTACTAAAACTACTGCATGCAATAGAATAAACTAATACTTCGAAATACTTTACTTGTTTGTTTCGGAGATTGCAGACTAATTTTGAACCCAAGGGGAACCTTAATTTAGTTGTAAAGCCACCTTCGACGTACGCAGAAACGGACATCGGTTTTTCTTGCGATGTGTATTGCGGAGATGTTTTTATCAGGTACTGGGATAAATAAAATAAAAAAATAAAAAAACTGAAAAGACTGGTTTCCAAGCTAGGTATAAACCTGTATTATGGATCGCTGGGCTTTCATTCCACAGTCAAAGACATAGTATGAGGCAGTGCAACATTGTACATGTAGGAGTGGGCAGAACAAGATAAGAAAAAAAACAAAAAAATACATCTAATGTGGTAACGAATTCATGACTGTCTGTGCGTGTGTGTGTACGGGGGTTTATGTGGTTGTGTGTCCTCCGTTAACTTATTCCAATATCACATTTACTTATTAGAAATGTCTGGCAAATTGACAACGATCGAATATCAATCGAATATTTAGATTTGTAGGGGAGTAGGTGTGTCAAATTTAACATTGTGTTGAAAAATGGGCAAAGCTACCGACTTTCAAATGGCGAGACTGTATTCATTATAGTATACTTAGTAGATATAGTTTGTACAAAACTCTTTGTGTACGAGTCGGACTCTCAATCGTTCTGGGGTTTCAGAGTCGATCCATAAAAAATTAAATCACTGAATATTGAACTCGTGCTGGATGTGAAAAACAATATATGTATGTAAGGTAAGTTATATAAACTCGCTAGGACTCGCAATGGTACTTCTTGAAGCTTATGTAGCGTCGAAAACTTTAGCGAACTGTAATCACGATATGTTTTCTCAGAAAGTAATTCAAAGTAATTCATTCTTATTCAACGCCGATAAATTACAACACTTTCGATTTAGTTGCTTAACTTTTAAATATAAATAAATTGAAAATTTTAAATTTTTAGCATCACTAGTTCAAACTGCTTTGCTTTGTTAAATCTTTCTATAAAAAATTAGTTTAAAAAACTAAAAAACACGCTTTTATAACTAGCCTAACGGAAAGCGTGTTTTTCAGTTTTTTTTAATAATAATTTATTTTGGCGGTTTTTTAGTCATTAATGATGATTAATTATTACTGAGACTAAAAAAGTAACAAGTAAGTAAGTCACTTAAGTAAGAAAAGATTGTACCGTATTTTTAGGTATAGAAAAAGCCGTTAATCCTGAAGATCTTGATCAGGATAACGGGCAAATTTATTAAATTACAGTATAGTCATCGATCCTTGATAAGTGTGCGAAGTTTCAATTTAGTTCGAGGTTTTGAAGTGGGGCAAAATCACGTTTGAAGGTTAGGTGCATTTTTGCGCCACTGATTTTTTTTAGATAAAGTGATTGAAGAGCCGGGTTTATCTGTTTAA